AAAAAAAAAGTCCCTCTTCATATGAAAATTCTGGCTTCAAGCAGCAATGACCAGACTGTCTTGCCAACCCCACTCAGGGCCCAGCTGGCCTGCCCTGAGCTCCATGCAAGAATGCCAAACCCCACTCACTAGCAGGAAATAATGGTTCAAATGGTTTCAACCAGTAGGGTCCAATTCTCCCCAACCAGATGAAAAATTCTATTTAAGAGGGAGACCTTGGTGACCTCAGGTTGGGGGCGAGGAGGGGCTGCTTTCATTCCTGATCCTGACACACTTTATTCCTGCTTGACAGCTCTGCCATCTATTGTGACCGAAGATTCTAGGTGGGGATGCCAACAGAGCAGCCACGCTATTGCCTGTCACCCAAGCCTGTCCCCCACCTCCTAGAAGACAGAGAGCACAGGGTGCCACCAACTATGCCGCCAGAATTCTTTTCTCCACATCTTATCAAAGTTAGTTTGATTACATCTTAGCAGTAACAGCCTATCTGCCCCATTTAGGGTAGCCCTTCTGGCATTGTTTTCACACAATGAAATGCATACTCCGCGTTCACCTAGCAAATGGACTGAGATGCCAGAGGGCTGGACAGAGTGGCCGCTAGAGGTTTCATCGGCTCCAGAGGAAATCCGGGAGATATTCCTTTTACTCAGTGAGCAAAGATCACACTGAAGGCATGGGGCCATGGAAGGAACTGTCCCTGTCTGAGGACAACACCCCTCCTGGGGTACAGCCTGAAATCGAGGTGCAGAGAGGCACACATTTTCCATCACTCACAATACATCTCACCAGGGCGGAACTAGGGAAAACGGACATTTCTTTATTTCCTATCATAAAAAGCTCAGGCTAAATCAAGACATTACTTCCCCAAAAAACCAGTTTTTTCTAGTCACCAAAAAAAGTACCAAAATGTTTGCTTTTGTCCAGAGATATTAAAGACCCTAGGTTTTCTTCAAAATAATATTTAACTGTAGTTTTTCATTGACTTCCTTTCTAACCCTTCTAATACTACAACTTTGAACACTTCAGTGCCATCTTTTTTTACTCTTTTTTATGACAGGCTTCATTTAAGAAACTAGAATAAGGCTTCTCTGGAGAAAAACACAAACTTGGAGACCATCTTTGCCCATTCACTAGAGTAAAATGGACTATACCAGAGCAGCCACTTCTGGGTATCTTTAGAAATTTTAACTTGAAGAACTTGTTGCATTTTCTGGTTATTTACAGCTACTCACATAGCCACACAATATAAATTCACATACTGAAAAGGAAAAAAAAAAATCTTAATTTTAATAATAATTTATACTTTTTTCTTTGGGGGAACTTTACAGAAAAGAAGAACCCAGATGGGACCCTTAAATAAATTAGGTGTATCTGAATCTTTGACCTCTCCTCACTCTCTCTCAAGAGTGTAACCACTAGGAATTAAAATGTATGTGGACCGTCCTGGACCTAAGCATCCAAGACAAGAGCGGAATTAATGCCTCTGAGACTGTAAAGGAGAAAGCCCAACACAGCATCACACAGAGGTACCTAGAAGGGCTGCGAGGTTTTCAAAGAAGCCCTCAGAGCCCCAGACAGGTGAAGTCCAACTCTCTTCCCTCTTGTAACCATTGATAAAAGACCCCAAAGGATCCCCAGGCACAAACAAATCAAATAAAATAATGAAGGCTGCATGCTGGAGTTCACTTTTACGTGGATGGGAAATTCTGGCATCAATGACTCTTTGGGGCAAAATACTGAACGAGGGGACAGACTTCCACCTTGCTCTCCCCACCAAGGCTCTGCCCTTCTGATGGGCCACAGCAGCCAAGCTGGGGCGCTGAAGATGGGAGTGGGGAACCTTCCTCCTGTTCTGAAGGTCTGAGTTGTGAGTTTAAGTTTGACAAAAGCACTTTTGTGAGGTTTCACTTCCCGTTACTATCACACTGCCAAAAACTACTGCAACAACACAGTGAAAGCATGTAAAAGCAAGGCCCACTTGATAGCTGAGTGCAAGCACGTGTTGGCGGGCTCAGAGGATGCCAGGTTGGAGGGAGCTGCGCCCACCTGTCAGACAAGCCCAAGTCCTCTGCAGGAGCCCGCCCCAGGACACCTCCCTGCCTCTCAAGCCCTGACTTTGCCAGCGTCTTAGGAAAACCCTTTAGCAGGTCTCTAGGAAAAAGCAGTCGCTCCCCGCTCCCCATTCCCAGCCATTGCTCCCCATTCCCAGCCATTGCACTAACTTCCTCCTGAAAGGACTCCAAGGCACTGCTACCGCCTCCCCCCAGCTCCCCCAGCCAGGGAGCTTCTGAACCTGGCAGATCCTACCCCACCTCCATGTCCTGTCAAATTGGACTCAGCAGTTTAAAACCTCTCCCTCACTTCACTCCCTCCTCCCACCCCCAAAAAGAAAAACATTCTTTCCACTAACTAGATCATTTCCAATTGGAATTGATAAAAAGGGGCGGTGCTGACCTTTGCAGAGATCTGGGAAGCTTCACAACGCATTCTTTCAGACAAAACCTCCCTTTCAAAACTGAGGCAGGGGCATATTAAAATTTAAAAGTTAAAGAAAACTGATGCTTTTTTGCATTGGTTCCTTCCCAGAGTAAAGGGCCCCGAAACAACGTAAACCCTCAGAAAAGGCCTTTTAGCGGGTCACAGGGCGCACCACCCAGAACTCAGCCACCCAGCGGGCCATGCCCCGCGCCAGGCCAAAAGCAAAAAGGGGTGAGAGAAAACTTACTCGAACCGAGAAGTCATTCTGGAGCCCCCCAGATTCCTAACCCGTTTCCACCCGATTTTCATGCCTGTTACTGTAGCATCAACGCAAACACCTTCTTCTCCCCAGATGGGGGCAGTGGGCGCAATGGTGATCTGTTTGCAAAACACACAAGGCTGCGACATTCGGTAGCGGCGGTCCTTTCTTCCCGAGGCTTTCAGACGCTGTCCACGGTAAATGTGTGCGTGAGTGTGTGGCGGTGAACGTGCGCTCCCCTCCTCTGCGAGGGCGCTGGGCCAGAGCCGGACGCGCACCCGCGCTCGGTGGCCGACTGGCCGGCTGCTGCTCTTCCTCTGGGGGTCCTCGGCGGCACGGCCGCCCCCTCCCCGGCCCGCACGCTACCTGCAGCCACAGGCCTCCACAACCATGTCCTCGTACTGCTTGTAGACCACGTTGTTGGCGGCGTCGATGTAGAGGATGCTGATGGGGCTGAGGCGCGCGGGCACGCAGCAGGAGGCAGGCGCCGCGTCGGGCGCCATGGAGTTGAGCAGCGTCTGAATGATGGCGTGGTTGGTGGGCTCGAGGTGTGAGCGCAGCGGGAAGTCGCAAACGCCCTCGCAGTGGTACGCCTCGTAGTCCAGCGGCGCGATGATCCAGTCGTCCCAGCCCAGCTCCTTGAAGTCCACGTGTAGCGGCTTG